CAGCTTCTAGCATAGAAGGCAAGTCCCTTCCTGCGCCACGCACAGCTTCCCAGCTCCGATGGGGGGGGAGAGAGAGGGGGGGAGGATGGTTGGCTGGCATTCCTTTTGGTGTTTAGGCTAGGACTGTGTAACAACAAGGAGGGGGGGGGGGGGGGGTGGGGGGCGGGCCCCCTAACCCCTCCCCTGGATCCGCCACCGTAATCTGTTATATGTAATGTTATTATATGGCCATGTCTCAAAAGGACTGGAAACAAACAAATTCAAGCAATTGATTGGCTAAAATCGATCTTGAGCGCGGTCTAGATTTTCCCATCTAGACCGGGATCTAGACCTATGTTGTTGTAACAGTTGTCCTCAAAAAGTCACAAACAAAGAATATGAAAAAACTGGCTTGCTCCTGTTAATAACACTAAATGGAAGAATCAGTGGACCTTCACGGGGAGGCAGGTAAAGAAAACGAGCAAACGTCGCAAAATTCGTGTCCTGTCGAGGAAGCTATGAGCAAAGATGAAGTCGAAATTGAGAACTTTTGCAGGAGACTTTGAATCTACTTATCATATTTTATTGGATGAAGTCAACTGTGTTTCTCTATACAACAGACGTCTACACAATATGCTAATCTTTACTCTACAACAGTTTGTTTCTGACTAAATATCCTACCTTTATGAATAATATGTTTCGTCTTATAATTTACGTGGCGACTATACTTTGACACTGCCTGTACCCAAAACTGCTACTTTTGGCCTTCGCATTCATTTTCAGTATCATGCCGCTAAACAACGGGAACTTACTACCCGACTCGACGCATACCGGTGATTTTAATATATAGATATAGCCAAGGCTAAAAGCGAAGCTCCTAATAATAAATTTATAATTTAAATCAAGCAATAAACTTGTAATCCACATATCAGTTAACTTAAGAGCACATTCATGTGACTTTGAGGGAAAGGCTAAGTGATTTTAAAGTGAAATGTCTTACATCGAGTTGATAGCCTTATATGTACACCCCCAAAAATAGCAATCAACTTCAATCACAATCAAGAACCATAATGGCTCTTGATTACAGTAGATTAGGCCTCGAAAACAACAACCTATTAGCTCGTTTTCTTTTTTTTTTTTCCTCAAGTGAAAAATGGGAAACGATGTATAAAACGATTCTTCAACGTAACTATCTTTTCATTTTTCTCCAACTATTGGTGAGCGCCCTGGTGTAATTAATATGCTGTCAAATGTCGCCGACGAACAACACCAGTTTCACTTCTCAAACACTTGGACGCTTTCAGTAAGTTTTCCAAACGTTAAGTGCATTTACAGCCTATTGGTAAAATATGTCCAGAACTAACTTTCAACAGTGAAAGCAACAACCCTAGTTTTTTTTCTTCGTAGTATTCTTGCATTGAAATTCCCCCTGAGGGGTCTTAATTTTGTGAACGTCGATTTTACGAGTGATTCAAGTTATTACCGTCCTCTATTTTATTGCGCGTTATCTGTTTGTGCTGTCCAATCGCCAAATCGATCGTTCAGAGAAAACTATTGGCAGTTTCATGCCTTGTGTAAAGTCTCTCATTTAATTTTATCTTTCATTCTTAAACTCCGCATCAATAATTCATGAAGAAAATACAAAAGAAATCAATGTTCAATGAATGTTTGGAAATAAGATGAAAAACTGCTCATTTTTGCATTTTTAATTTCTCCGATCCTAAAATCATCTTGACACATTCGACACAGCTTCATCACCACGAATGAAACACCTCGAAGTTCGTCAAAAATACTCCGCGGAGTGTCTCATGCTTGATATGTTACTTGAAAGTCTCTCTTTTCCTGCAGGTACATGAATATTTCATTCCAAAATGAAAGGCTTCCATCGAAAGGAAAACCGTCCAGTTGCAGCACAGTATATAATAGGAGCCTTGTAGAGAATGGACTTAATGAAATAAAGTAAACAGTTTCGATCTCTGCCTTTTTTTGATTTTATGGCGCCTTTTTTAGCGGGGCTCCCACGCGCGCGAAGCGCGCGTGGGACAGAGCCCCATACCCATAGATTATGGTCAACCTCTTTTCCTTTGGTTGTCACGTGATTGACCGAGCGTACGTACGTACGTACGTACGCGTCTACGGATTGTACGGG